TATATATATGCCACCTGAACATGACAAAATTATATCCTAAAGTAAAATGTACAAGTGAAGTTACTTAAAATCTTAAGAGAACTTTTATAAATTCCCAATCTAGCAGTAGTTTACAATTCAAACAATACATAAAGGATGGTGACTGCTTTTGTTAAATGGAATCAATGAGAAAAACCAAACCTGCTTCATTGCTTCCACTCGCTTGTTAAGAGCTGTGGTTTGCTCAATTAGAGATTCTGCTGCATCGTCATGATCTCGCAGTCTTTCAACAAGGGCTTTAGCATCAGCAAGTGCCTTCTCAATTGTGCAACTCATTTCTAAAGGAATACCTGTAATTAAAATTAAAATCAAGACTCCAAACAAAGTCAGCATACTGCTTTATTTTAACTTCATGTAAACACAGATATGCTTCTTGATTGTTCACTCACCGCAAGCATTACTGTATTACCAAAATCTGAAAAAAGACACAACAACAAAAAAGAAAGCACAGAAGACTATAGAAACCGATAAACTCACCAGGATACAAAAATGAGTAGCTCTTCCATACATCTAGTATGAATTTGCTGAGAAAGAAATCATGAAATTAATCCTATTCACAACAGACACACACACGATATATATTTAACTAAAGAAGTAAAAGACCTTTACAATGAAAATCATAGAACACTGGTGAAAGATACTGAAAAGTTCAAGAAGGAAAACTCTACCATGTACATGGATGCAAAGACTTAAAACTGTAAGTCCATAATTCCAAAATGATGTACATATTCAACCTAATCCCTACCAACATACCAATGACATTCTTCACAGAATTAGGAAAAACAATCCTGCAATCCATATGGAAGCATGTAAGAACAAATCCAAGTAGGCAACAGAATTTTGAGCAAAAAGCCAAGATGGAGGCTCAAAACTCCTGATTTCAACACATACTACAGGGCCATAGTAACCAAAATAGCCAGCATGGCCCTGGTATAAAAGCAGATATGTAAACCCAGGGAACAGAACAGAGATGCCAGGAAAAAACTCCATAGACCATAGTGAACTTCTTGTTTTGGTATTTGGAGACCTCAAAATTTCAATTTTTTTTTTCTATTGAGTTTATTGGTACATTTAAATTAAACAATACAGTTACATTTATCATTGGGATCTTGTACCTTTACAAGATGTATCTTGGTTCTTGTTTTTTCCCCATACCCCTAGCCTCCCTTTACCCCCTTTCAAAAGGCCAATTTTAAAATAAGGCCTTGAGCTGGGGATTTAGCTCAGTGGTGCTACTGCCTGCCTTGCAAGTGCAAGGTTCCAAGTTCAATCGCCAGCACCAAAAATAAATAAACAAACAAATAAATAAAGGACTTGAAAGAACTTATAATTTTCTGAAACCCTCCTTGATTTTTTTTTTCCTCTTTCTACTAAATTTTACCTAACCTTTGATGAGCCACCCTTTCTTTAGGATTTTCTCAAAAAATAAAATCCCTAGGCCTCAAGGCAGGTCTACAGAAGTTAAAACTACAGTATAGAACTATAAATAAACGAACTTTGCAAAGACAGAACTTTGCAATATAATCCAGTCACTTTGCAGTACTGGGATTTGAAGCCAAAGCCTTTGCTATATCCCTAGCCCCCACCTATCCTCTCTTAAATATCAAGGCAATGTCTCCACAAGTGACTTAAGTTGCCCAGCCTGGGCTTGAACCTGTGATCTTCCTGCCTCAGCCTCTAAAAGTGCTGGGATTACAGGTGTGTAACACCAAGGTGTGCACCAGGGTGGTGCAGCAGCTTTGGAAAACAGTGTGGTAGTTTCTCAAAAGGTTAAACGTGTGACCCAACCATTTCACTCATAAGTACACAACTAGAAAATGAAAACATTATTCACAATGTGCAAAGAATTAACTCAAACACCACTCAAATGATTCATGAATAAATAAAACAGTGGAATTTTTGACAGAAAAGAGGAGGAATAATGTCTTGATGCAACCACACAGATGATAACTGATAAATTAGGCTAAGTCACAGAAGCCAGTCACAGATGATGACCACATGTTATATAATGCCATTTATATTAAAGCCACAGAATCTGAAAACAGCTTAGTGAATGTCTAGGGCTGAGGTGTGGCAGGGGGTAGGAAGGTTGAGAAGAAGCAAGGGGATGGGAAGTGATTAACAGCCTATGACTTCTTTATGGAGTGATAAACATGTCCTAAAATTTATTTCAGTGGAGACTGTACAACTCTGGGAATACATTAAAACCCATAAAATTTTACACTTTGAATAGGTGAATAGTTTGAATTATGTATCTCAATAAAGTTTTTTGTTGTTGTTAAAGCTGGAGTGGCTACATAAATACTAGAAAAAGTAGACCTCAGTGAAAATTACTGGAAACAGGAGTATTACATAAAGATAAAAGGACCATTTTAGCAAGAGGACCTAAGAATCCTAAATGTACATTCATCTGGCTAGAGAGCTTCAAATACAGAAGCAAAAACTAAAAGGATCAGCAGACACATCCACACTTTCTGCTAAAAATGTCAACACTACTTTCTTAGTAATTCATAGAACTTGTACACAGAAAACCAACAAGGATATAGATGAAATTAACACCATCAACTACAGTAATTGAACTGGCACTTATGAAATGCTAAAACCAGTAATAGCACAATACAGCAGCCTCCCTTTGTCTATGGTTTCACTTCCCATGGTTTCAGTTATAAGCAACTGTGATCCAAAAATATTAAATGGAAAACCTAGAAATAAACAATTCATAAGTTTAAAGTTACACACCATTGTAAGCAGTGTGTTGAAATCTTGACCCGTTCCTGCTCAGGTCATGAATCAACGCTTTGTCCAGTGTGCCCATGCTGGGTAGCCACCCACCTGCTAGTGACAGTATCACTAAATTATCAGATTGAGTGTCACAGTATTGCAGTGCTATAGTTCAAGTAATCCTTATTTAATTATATGCATAGGTGGCTAAGATCTGCAATAAAAATGAATGTTCTCTCTGCAGAATTGTGATGGAGAAAGAAATGTGTACTTGCATTACTGTCATACCTAACTACACAGAAGTTACAGGCACAGTATGCAATAAGTGCTTAGTTAAAATGGAAGAGGAATCTTGAGGAGTGGCTCAGGGATGGAGTGCATGCTTTTGTGTATGTGAGGCCCTGGGTTCAATCCCTGTACCACCGAATAAACAAAAACCAAAAGCATTAAATACTTTTTTTCCAATCCTGGTATGGTTTGGCATTAAATGTCTCCCCCCAAAATTCCTGTGTGAAGGGTTTGTCCTTAATTCAGTAGTATTCAGAGGTGAGGCCTCTGGGAGGTGATTGCTCAGGAGAGCTGTTAGGAGGTGGTGGAAACTTTAGGAGGTGGGCTTGGCTGGAGGAAGCAGGTCACTGGGGTTGTGCCCTTGAAGGGTACACTCTGTGTCCAGGCTCTTCCTCTCTTTGCTGCCAGGAGATGAGCAGCTATGCCCTACAATGTACTCCTTGCCATGATATTCTGCCTTGCCACAGGCCTAAAAGCAATGGAGCCAGCCAACTATGGGCTGAGACCTCTAAAATCATGAGCCAAATAGATATGTACAGGAAAGAACATAATATAAATATATTTGCAGTTTCAGGCACAGGGGTTCTTGGTACATATTTCCCACAGGTAAGGAGGGACTATTAGACACATTATTTTGAAGTGTACATGGAATATTCACTCACTAGGATAGATTATAAAGAAACATTAACAAATCTGTAAGGATTGTAACCATGCAAATTATGTTCTCTGGTCATATTAGAATTAGGCTAAAACAGATAACAGAAAGATGATAAAACCTTCAAAATCTGGAAGTTAAACAAGAAACTTCTAAATAAACTATGTCTCAAAAAAGGAAACTTCTGGCAATTGTAAGACATTTTGATATAAATGTGAAAATACAAGATCTCAAAAATTTTGGCATGAATAAAATCCATAGCATTAAAAGCTATATACTAGAAAATTAGAAAAATATCAAATCATTTACCTGAGCATCAACCCTTAGAAATTAACGGTGAGATAAACCCAAAGTAAATGGAAATAAATAATAATGATAAGGAACAGCAAAATAACATCCACAAAATTAAAAACAGGAAAGCAACAGACAACCCAATGAAATCAAAAGCTAGTTCTGTAAAAAGATCAATAAAGTTTGTACATCTGTAACAAAAATGACCAAGGGAGGAAAAAAGACTTAAATTACCAACGTCAGGAATAAAAGACAGGATAACACTGCATATCCCTACTTCATCCAAAGCATAAGGGTATACAGTAAAAAAATCCCACACACATGAAGTGAGTAACTTAAATGAATTCTTCAAAATCCCAAAACCACATAAAGTCACACAAGAATAGATAATTATTAATAGTCCTATAGATATTCATTGTATTTATTGGGGTTAACTACTAAAGTCCTATTTAACTATTATAGTCCCATAATAACCCTATAATTATTAAAGAAATTGAGTTTGCAGTTAAAAAATTCTACAAAAAGTCTCCATACTCAGATAGTTTCAAAGGCAGATTCTAAAGTATATTATAAAGGAAATAAAATCAGAATTACACAATTTATTCAATAAAAAGGAATACAGTATTTTCAAACTTATAAAATGGTATCAGCATTGATACCAAAACCACACAAAGGCAATACAAGAAAAAAAAAAATCACAGACCGCTATCTCTTATGAGTATAAATGCAAAAAAAAAAAAAAAAATCAAGAAAATATTAGCAACTCATATTTGGCCATAAATTAAAAAAACAAAACAAAACATCATGACCAAGTGGGGTTTATCCCTGAATACATGTCTGCCTCCATATCACTGTAGTCCAAAGAAGAAAAAATACTTGATTGTTAACAACTGGTCCACTAGGAAAAATTCAACATCCTTTCATAAAAACTTTCTGAAAACCTGGACTAGAATTTCCTCAAACTTTCTTGGGGCAGTTACAAAAAACCTACAGCAAACACTCACTTGATGGAAGATTAAATACTTTCCCACTAAAATTAGAACTAGGAAAGGATGCCCCAACTGCCAGTCAACATACTAGTGTAACAGAAAAAGGAAGGAAAGATGGAAGGTAGGAAGGAAGGAAAGAAGAGGGGATATAAATTGGAAACAAATTTTTGAAAAATCTTATAAATAATAATATATGATTTTAGCAATTCTGTAAGATACAAGCACACAAACCAATTGTTTTCTTTTTTCTTTTTTTTTTTTTGGTACCGGGGATTGAACTCGGGTCTTTGAGCTTGCAAGGCAGGCCACTGAACCTCCGCCCACCAATTGTTTTCTGTAAACTAGCAATGAAAAACTGGAAACCAAAAAACTCCCCAAACAAAAAACACATTTATAATAGCAAAAAAAAAAGAGAGAGGACCTTTGAACCAGGATTTGCATGCTGATAACTGAAATGATAATGAAAGAAACTAAAGTGACCCTAAATAAAGAAACATTAAATTCAAAGACTGGAGACTCAACATAATAGAGATTGGAGTTTTCTACAACTGACCTACTTAACAGATTTCATGCACTTTCCAATCAGAACTCAGCAGCACTTTTTACAGAAATTCACAAGGCAATTTAAAAATTTCTATGGGAACCTAAAGAAACTAGAATAGACAGGCAACTCTGAAAATAAAGTTGGAGAAATCACACTACCAGTTTTCAAGACTTAAAGCCACAGTAGTGAAGACAGTTGTGGTGGTGATAGGCAGAACAGAGATCCTGAAACCGGCCCAGTGATTTTTGGACAGGTGCAAAGGCACCTGTTAGAGTTAGAGGAGACACATTAGATTCTGTCAATAAATGGTGTACAAAGAACTGGACATCTGTATGCCAGAAAACCTATCTCAATGCAATTTGTACCCTTTATACAAAGATTAACTCAAAATTCACCACAGATCTAAATGTAAAATTAAAAGATATAACACTTATGTAAGAAAAAACTAGGAGATAATGTTTACAACCTGGAGTAAGGCAAAGATTTTTTAAAGATACCAAAATCATGACTAAAAAAAGAAAAATTTGATAAACTGGACTTCATCAACAATAAACTTGCTCAGGGATAAATACTGCTAAGATGTTTGAAAAGACAAGCTAAAGAGTGGGATAAAATGTTTTCAAATCATAATATCCAACAAAGGACTTGCACCTAGAATATAAAAATCTCTCAAAACTAACAATAATAACTGAAGTTTTTAAATGAGCAAAAGACCTTAACACTTAACTAAAAAGATATACCATTGGGCGTGATGATGCATGCCTGTAATCCCAGCACTCGTGAAGCTGAGGCAGGAGGATCGCTGTGAGTTCAAGACCAGCCTGGGCTACATAGTGAGTTCCAGGTCAGTCTCAACTACACAGTGAGACCCTGTGTCAAAAACACAAAAAACAAAACAAAACAAAACAAGATATATGGATGGTGAATAAGGACATGGAAAGATGCTCAACATCATTAGCCATTAAAGAAATGCAACTAAAACTGTGATAAGATCCATCTTAACCTCATTAAAATGGCTATTTACCTATTTCTTCATTGATCCCACCCTGCCTCAATTTTAATAGTTGTAAAATAAACTCCTGCTATGTGATATAGCAAGTCACTTTTTCTCCAAAATTGTTTGACCTATTTTTAGCCTTCTCTCCAACCTAACTGAACCTAAATAGCCCTTTACAGTAGTCTAGAATAAAAATCAATGTGCTAGGTAATAATTTTGATTAATTCAAAAACAGTGGTAGCTTTCTTACTTTGTCATTTAGGCATGAGAACTAGTGTTATTCCCTTTTAACAAATGAGAAAATAGATTCAGGGATTCCAAATAAATGGAGCTGAATGACGGAGCCAAGCTAGTACCAGAAATAGAACTTCTGATCCCCAGTCTAGCATTTTATTCTTGAGCCAAACTTGATCTCCAGGGCCCTATTTGCTTTCATCTACAGGAAAAGGATCTTGACCTCCCTGGATGGAAAAACAAAGCAATTTTCCTGACCCTACCCCAGAATGAAACCTCCAAGATATTAAAAAAATTTTCATTTCAAGCCAGCCACAGGACGTAAATGGAAATGTATACGGAGAAAATTTTAAAGGTAACAAAATTTCAAATATTTTTTCATATAACTAATAAAACGCCGCCAACTATTTTTAACAAGGCATCAGTTAGTTAAGCAATGGATGATTATCCTTAGGCTTTAAAAAAAATTGTTAACATCTGCTTTACAAAACATTCTCTAGGTTGCATAAAGAAACACAACTACCAAAATAAACTACAGGTAAAATTTATTTTGTAACTATGAAGACTTATCTATTCAGGAAAAGGAATTATAACAACAGGTAACTCAAAACATAATTTTTTAACATTTCAGAAAACCCGTGACACAGTTTCTAAGTATTTGCATGTTCATTTCCTGTATGTGAAACCACACACAAAAAGTTCAAAATATTTTATAGCATGAATTTACTTTGCCATCATTTTTGAAAAATGCTCCCCCCTACTCTTTCTGACTAATAACTGGAGTAGGAGAAGTATGGTTTTCCAAACTCTAGGTTTCAAATTCTTAAAAACAGACTCCGGTGTGTGGGGGGGAGTACCTGTATTTTCAGTTTATCTGCTTATTTTTATAATGTCTGTCTTAAATGGTCACAATATGCTTCCATAATTTTCTATAGGTAGGTCCAAATTACAGAACTTTGTAAAACAAGCTTTTATTTTTTCCCCTGTATAGCCCCACTCCACCCATTTTGTCAGACTCCTGACAGATGGTTCAGAACATTCCGCTGCGGATAAAAAAGAACCCACCGCCCACCCAAGACAGCAACTGCCAGATGTTTAGTTTTAGATTTTAGTTAAGAAAATTTTAAAGGAATTAAAGTCCCTTGAACCATGTGTTTCCTTTATCTACAAATCCACTATGCTATAGCTAGCTGGACCCCCAGAAAAATGTTGTGACTACTAACTCAGCACAGATGTGTTTTTAGTTGTTAACAGTTTAGTTTTGTTTAAAAAATTGTATTATCCAGGCAAGTCCCTCTAATGTTAACTAGTAAACAATATCAACCAACACATGAAAATAGAAAAATGAAAGGCACAGTCTGTCTTTCAGAGAAGCTTACAACCTTAGTAAGTTGAGAAAGAGTACACATATATTGCACATAAAAATAAGCATCTTCAAGGACCCCAGTTTGACCAAAAAAAAAAAAAAAAAAAAAAAATCTTATACAGGCATACCACTATTTGAAAGCACTGAAAATTTTCTTTTTTCTTTTTCCTCATTGAGTTTATTGGTACATTTTAGGTATACGGTACAGTTACATTCATCATTGGGATCTTGTACCTTTACATAACAGGAGCACTGGAAATTTTCAGTCTTTAAAAATGGTGGACTGCCATGTATCCAGAGCTTTATGAAGTAGCTTTCTAGAGATGATGGATTTTTTAAAGTTGCAAGGAGTAGAATTTGGAAGAACCCAGAGGATTTCTATTTTTTTTTTTTTCCATTATTGAAGATCAAGAACCCTGGGGGGATCTACCACTGAGCTACATCCGCAGCCCTTTTAGTATAAAGGGTCTGGGTTGCCCAGGTGGGACTGGAACCTGAGATGCTCCTACCTCAGCCTCCCTCAGTGCTGGGATTACAGGCAAGCGCCTCCGCATCCAGCTGACGCTGGAGGACTTAAAAAAAAAAATTGCACATGTTCACTTAGAACTGTGGCTAAATATAAACTGCATATACATATCTTCAAATACTCAAGAAGGATCTTATCTAATCTAAACCAATTATTTCTAACCTACAGGCTATAGTCTGTGAGGTGCAGCAGGAATGCACATACACAAAGCATTGCCTATAGCCTACAATGCAAAATCATTTAAAGGGACTTTTTTTTTTCCTGCTGTATATAATCCCAAATACTAAAAGTACAGTTAGTTGCACACGAGTTAGGAGTGCAAGGTTGCTCGTATTCAATACAGATAAGGGCTGTTAAACTAATATATGGGGTTCCATCTGGTTCTGAAAGTCTATGCTTTTAAGGGACTAGAAATTCCTATGGTAATTTTTTTTTACATGTACACACACATATATAAATATAAATATATATGGATATATAATGCTTGCTATAGGCCAAGCATTGGCCTACCTTGTGTTTCAAAGATGAATAAGACATGACTCTAGGCTCAAGTTTAAGCTGGCAGAAGACACAATTAAATAAGCAAACAATACATCCTAATAAATACTGCAGGACTACCTCCAGTGCTTTGGGCACGGCTGTAATATTGTCACTGGCAGGAGTCTGAGAAGATAATCACCTATGCGCTGGGTTTTGACAATTGGTGAAACACACAGGGAAGTACTCTGGACAGGTGGATATAGCCACCTACGAAGCACAGTTGTGAAAATGCCGGGCACGTCTGGGGAAACAGTCTGGTATGGCTGGAGATCAGATTATTTGGGAAACAGTCCGGTATGGCTGGAGATCAGATTATTTGCGAAAGAAACAAGATGACTACTAAAAATGTACAATGTGATTGAGACAGACTGTAAGAGGTCCTAAAATGACTGATATGCTTTACATCAGAACTTGATTCAGTCAGTAACACTGTTACTGAAAAAGTTTGAGGGGAGATAAAAACAAGTATTTCAGAATGCAAACTCTGTAGAACGATGCTGGTAGGGAAACCAATTTGGGGTGGGGTTTGGGCAACTGCAACGGTTCTGGTCAAAGATGAAACGATCCTGTGCAGGGTGGATGTTGCAAGGACTATTCCTAGGCTCGTAGTCTGAGTAGCAGCTCAGATACTTAAGTCATTATCAGAGAAGAAAAACAGGAGGAAAAAAAATACCTTGCGGAGGGCAGTTTGAAGAAAGACGGAATGGCTCTCCGTGTCAAATGCTGCAAAGGGGTAAACTGAAGACTGAGCAGCGTCCGTCCTCGCCCACCCTTCGTGGTGAGGTTCGGGTTGGTAAGGCAGGTAGAGAACAAACACGGAAGGAGTGTCCTCAGGGTCAGGCTGCTCCTGAGACTCTGCAGCTCGGTTCCGGAGAGGGAGCTCGCGCTGACCGCGGGAGGAGGTGCGGCTCCCGGGAGCGGCCGGCACCGGGGCTGCACTGGGGTAGGAGGCGGCCGAGCCCCCACTGCCGCTCCGTCCCCGGATTTCTCCCACTTACTCGCTCCACGCAGTGCCTCACAGCCGTCAGCTGGGGCGACGCGGACCGAAAGCGTTCGCCGAGCGGGGCCTGTGCACGCAAAGGAAGGGCCTCCGCACCCTCGTTCAGCCTCTTCAGCGAGCAGACGCGGTGCCCGGCCACGAGGGTGACCGCCTCGGACTCGGCTGGGCTCAGCCACACGCCCAGCCAGGGGTTAGCCTCAGCTGACCGCCTCCCGCTCGCCTCCCAGAGCGGCCCAGCCTCGCGAGACTTCCTCCCGCTAGGGGCGGGGCCCCCCTCTGCCCCTCCCGCCGTATGCACTGCCCGGCTTTCGTTCGGCCTCTCGCGAAGTCTCGCGTGTTTTTCCCAGGGAAACCGGCCCGGGAACAGAGGCCGAGACAGGGAGGCTGCTGGGTGGGCCTTACGCCAGGGGGTCCTTGGCCGTTGTCGCCAGTGCTGTGTGGTGGTACTCGGCTTTGGGGAAGACTCTCAGATCGCCCGGATCGTTCTTCCCAAAGGGTGATTGGGAAAATTAGCGGGTACAAAATCTCGAGAGGCGGAGGAATCTTTTTTCGTTTTGGCTCCGCCCTCTTCCTGTTCTGCGACTGGTACGGTAGCCCGTCGCGGGGGAAGGGACGCTCGGCGGCCCAGCCGAAGAGCGCCCTGCGCACGCGCGAGCCCCAGTGTGCGAGTGTGTTTGTGCACCCGCACGCGCGCGCTCCTGCTTTTAGGAAACCTGGGAAGGACCTGTGTACGGGGAGATGAGGGAGGAAAGCTTAGCACTCTGTCTTTGGTACCAGACGCGCCTGACTGTGCGCTGACTCTCCCCACCCACCCAGGCAGCAGCCTTTGCCAGAGAGGCTGTGGCTGGCAGCCTCTGTTCGTTTTCACTGCAGGACCAGGCACGAAAGTAAGCGAACCTCAATCCTGAGGTCTTCCCTATCCACTCACCTTGTACTTTCCACCCCCACCCTACAGCAAAGTGCGTCTAGAAGGTTTCTTAAAGAGAGTTTTGCATGAGGGGGAGATGCCTTTGAGAACAGAACAAAATAGCGGGATCATGAAAAGACAGTTCGTTTTGATGTACACTTGCTCTGCTTCCCATGTGCTTGTAGAATGTGGATTTGTCTCTTCGGAATAAGATTTTATTAGCGGAAGCAAGGGAGTACCATATGCTCTGATTTTATTAGGAAAAGTTTTAAAAGTTTCTCCTCACCGCTGTGAAGGTAGTAACTTAAGTTTTTCTGTTCTACATGCTAAATTATGTCGTGTATCAAAAGTTAAGGGGAAGAGTGTGAGTTTGGGGTCCTTATCCTAATGCTCAGACCCAATATGCAGTTATGTTAGAGATGTTATGTTTTGGTTTTTACGTTTGCTGTCCCTCTTTGCTGTTAATTTTTCTTCACTCCATCTCACTTGCATTTTTCAAAAGTCTTGGAATGCTTGCTTGCTTGCTTGCTTTCTTTCTTTCTTTCTTTCTTTCTTGAGGGAAGTCCAGAAATGCTGGCTTGGAAGTTTATATGTAATTGATGTCAGCAAGAATCATCAAAAGTGTATTTAAAGAAACTATTTCATTTCGAATGTGTAATGGAATCAAGTACAACTATATGTAAAAAAAAAAATTTTTTTTTTGACAATTTTAAGTTCTTTCAAAAGCAAGAAGAAGACCGATTTTGCATGTGTCTGGAAAGGTGGCAGCCAAGTACGGTGTAGCTCATGCCTCGACACAGCTGTTTTCTGGTCATGACCCCCGTAAACCTTGTCATAGGTTGGACATATTTTCTCTCTGAAGGTGTTCATGTTTCCTATCAAATCAAGAGGTTTCGAAAGACACATTCATTAGGAATAAGAGAGTGAATGTTATGTATCAACATTTGACTAGTGTATTTTTCTTCGTATAGGTTAAAACAAAATGAAGATTTTTTCTGAGTCACATAAAACAGTGTTTGTTGTTGATCACTGCCCTTACATGGCAGAATCCTGCAGACAGCACGTTGAGTTTGATATGCTGGTGAAGAATAGGACCCAAGGCATCATTCCTTTGGCACCCATCTCTAAATCCTTGTGGACTTGTTCAGTAGAGTCTTCCATGGAATATTGTAGAATAATGTATGATATATTCCCTTTCAAAAAGCTGGTAAGTATGGATTACAAGCAAAATTACGGTGTTTGGGGAGGTATCCTTAATAGCAATCATAATTTTTATATAAATTTGGCCTAGAGCTGGGCGTGGTGGTGCATGCCTGTAATGCCAGTGGTCTAGGAGGCTGAGGCAGGGGATGGCCAATCTGTGCTCAGCCCAAACAACCTACAAGACCCTGTCTCAAAATAAATAAATAAGGTTAGGGATGTACCTCAGTACAAAGACCCAGGCTTCAATCTCCAGTATTGGAAAAATATAATCTGGCTTAGAACTCTGTTTACTTAAAAATGTACATGGTTTCTTTGGGTTTGGGGGGGATTGTGTTTATTTTTTGTTTTGAGATAGATTCTCTATGTATTCCAAGCTGGCCTTGAACTCACAGCAATTTTCCTGTCTCAGCCTCCCAAGTGACCCAACCTGGGATTACAGATATTCACCACCATGCCCATTTTAGAGTTGCCCTTTGGAATTAATATGTTATAGGATTTAATTGGGGGCAGTAATAGTTGTTGAACACTTACATGTGCAAGGCATGTTTCAAAGTATTTTATATTATTAGCTTTTCTAATTCTTATAAGGTAGGTATTGTATGTTTTGGGGCAACATTCACAGGTATGAACAACTAATATGGAACAGACACTGACCATTGAGAACTGTTGGTAGTCCAAGCAGAAGAAAGGTTGGTTATAAAGCAGTTTGCTGACTTGTGGTGGTGTGTGCTAGCTGAATATCAGTCTTGGTTTTTACTGCCATACCCTTGACACAGAAACTGGGGGAAAGAAGAGAAACCTAATCTGAGTTACATAGTGAGGGCTGAGATTCAGCAGTGGAGGGCATGCTTAGCATGCACAGAGGTCTGAGTTCAATCTTCAGCACCAATAAATAAATAAATAAAATAAATCTAAGCAAGAGTTTTTTGTCTTGTTTTGTCAATAAGAGAAAGTGATGATTGGTAGAAATTCAAGTATTAAAGTACCCTTTAGGTTTCAGTATCTTTGATAATTTATTTTGGAAGTCATTTGATTAGCTTCAAGTGGGTGACATGCTTCTCATCTTACTTGCCTGTGCTGGGACCTAGCAAGTTCATAGGTGGGAAAGATAGAGCAGGCAGTAACAGCAAAGGTGAACAGAAGAGGCCAATATTACATATTCAGCTATATTCCAAGTTAAAGTATAAGTACCTTTTGAAATTTTTGTGCATTCTAAATATGGTGAAAAAGTATAGCGTGAGGGGAAGGGTAATGTGATTTGAGGCACGGGCTTGGGTTCAGATTCTCACATCTTTAGCTGCCAGCAGTGTGACTCCGATGGTATTTCTTCATCTTTCCAGGCCTCATTATCTGTCCATGTAAACATACAACTACTTCCTTGTTGTAAGATTTAAATGAGATAATCCAAATAAAGTAGCTAGTAAAGTATATCCCTGTCAGATAAGCCTTGATAGACAAGATCCTTACCAAATTTTTTTCCTTGTGGAAAGTGAGGTAGTATTTCATGGATATGAGGAAAAATAATCATGAATTAGATCATATTGTTTAGGGTAAAGAAAGAAATTTATTCCTTTTCCCAAAAAGCAACATAGTCATCATCATCATTTGATATATTTTCTAATATATTCCTTATCATCATTATCATCTTACCTGGTGGGGTTATTTGTTTATTTATTTATTGTGGTGCTGGGGATCCAACCCAGGGCCTCACACATGCTAAGCAAGCACTGTACCAATTTTTTTCCAACCCTGATAGTATTATTTATTTGGACTTTACCTTAAAAATTAGAATACAGTCTGTATCCATTATGTGCTTTTCAGTGTTCTCTGTGGTTTTTAATACCCTTTGAGCTTAACTCCTCCCTCTCTGCTTGCTCTGATTTTTACCCCTTTACAGGTTTACACTTGGTGGCCTTTGCATCTGCTTTTGTTGTATCTTAGTCCTCTGTCCCTGACCTTTTCAGTGGCAGATTTCCTATGGTCATTTTGGAGTCTCTCAATGCCTCTTTTATAGAGAAAACCAAAACCAATTTATTTTTAATATCATTTATCACTCTCCGAAATGATCCTATTGATTTATTCGGTTTCTTCCTACACTGCCCTCTGTGTTATCACACTCCCCACCCCAGACAAGGTACAGGAGTACCTTGTGACAGAACTGTTTCACTCATAACTGCATCCCTGTAGCCCCAGTGCCGTTCTTAGAATAGTACCTGTCATGTACTGGGCATTCTGTAAATATAAACTGAATGCATCAAACAACAAACCAGTGTTAGAAATTGCATATTATTTTTAAATATGATGGTGTTTAAGTAAAATTAGAGTTGAATACTAATTGTCCCTTTGACATTTATTAGGTGAATTTCATTGTGAGTGACTCTGGAGCACATGTTTTAAATTCTTGGACTCAAGAAGACCAAAATTTACAGGAGGTATGGTTAATTTTTAAGCTGTGGCTATTTTTGAAAATTTTCTAAATGTCATAATACCTCTAAAAATGATTTAAAGCATTTTTTATCCACGTAGTATTTGCACATAGTTTTAAAAGTCCCATTACATTAAGAAAAATATCTGTTTTCTTTGTTGTCTCTCCCTCATTCCCAAGTAAACTTTTAACTCTAGCTGTCCCAGTATTTCCATATTAAATATGACTTCTAAACATGCTTTTATTCCTGTTTATCATTATTGTTAATGAGAATTTACTGCTTTTATATTTTCCCCTTTCCCTACTTTTCTCAAAATTGTATCAGAATATTCGGTTTGTTCAGAATTCCATATGTGCATTATAATGGTCATATAAAGTATTATTGATAGCTGTGCCGCATTATTGACAGTATATGTGAATACTTCTCTGCTCAAATTTTAATTTATTACTAGAATTTACCATTTCCTTTTTTGTCAACATGGGCTTAGTTTTCTGAATATCTATTAGTGCTTTTCTTGATGTCTCTACAAAAGGTCTCAGTATTTTGATCTCAGCTATATTAGATAATTTAACAGTGAAAATAGGCTTTTGGAGCACAGTCAGTACTGGTTGCTTTCTAGGCCCACTGACTGCTGTCATCCTTCTCTGTTTTTCAGGTCTTCTTTTTGATATTTTGAGCACAGAAGTTCCACCTTGGAAGTAACTTTTTCTTATTGTAAGGGATCATTCCATGGTGTTATAGATTCCAGTAGTATTGTTGAGAAGTCCACTGTCAGTCTTCTTCATGATTTCTGAAAGCTTTTAGCATCTTTTCTTTTCTCTTATGTTCTGAGAGTTTTCACTGATAAACTTTAGTGGATCTTTCTTCTTTCGTTGTACTAGAAAATTTAGTTCAGAAAATAATTTTCATGTTGTGTTTGTGGTAATGATCTTTTCTGTCCTGTCTCTTTCTAGAATACCTATTGGTGATATGTTTGACTTTGTGGATTAAATTTCTTAATTTTATCATTGAGCATCTTTTTGTTCTAGTTTTTAAACCCTTATATGTAAGTTTGATTTGATTGTATGTTTAATCTGTAAGAACATGAACTTATTCTCTAATTGTATCATTTTTGTTGTGTCCTTTTTTTGATTCATGGGTGGAATTTTTTTATACCCAAGGGTGTTTTTGAAATTTTCTTTTGATTCCTCTTTTCTCAAAATTCTTTTTGTGTTGAGGCTTTTTAAAAAATGCCTCTGACATTTGGCTGTGCAATCTTATCTAAAAGCAAGACACTAAATAACAGATTAGAAAATCTATGTTTTGGGTTAGGCATTGCTGACTGGGCTTCACTGTGTTTCAAACCACTTATTTTCACTGAGGAAGTGCCTGATGTCAGAGTCAGCAGATCATCCCTCTGGGATTGTCCGGGGTCTCCAGAGAAGATCTTTCACTCTTCTACCTGTATTCTGTAAGCTTGGTTGTTTGCCTTCTGGGAGGGAAAGGCTAGGGTAGGTTCTCCTTTCAGCAGGCAGATAATCAGATTGTATTTAATCTTTCTGCTTCTGGTCTAATACTTTGCTGTCTATTATAGTAGTGACTAGCCAAATGTGGGTATTTACATTTAAAAGTTAAATATAATTAAAGTTTACTTTCTTTCTAGTACTAGCCCTGTTTCGGACGCTCAACAAGCCACAAAGATGGTGGTTGTTGTACTGGATAGGATAGAGAACATTTCCAGTGTCGTAGAAAGTTCTCTTGGGCAGTGCTAGCCTTGTATCTTAACCTTATGCTCTGCTGTGCTTTGTAATGCCATGCTTGGTACCTTTCTGGTTCAAGTATTGGGATTCTGTGTCTTGCAGTCAGGAGCAGGTAATTATGCATGGTTTAGGATGTAAGATGTGCAGTGAAGTCGTGCCTCATTTTGACTTCAAGCTATTTATAGTTTTCTGTATCTTATTCTACTCTTGTTTTGTAAAGTACTTGGTGCTTCCAGTTCTCAGACTTATCTTAGATTCCATTTGGCATATCTTCTTGCCTTTTTTTTCTTCTATTGGTACTTGGACTTAGAATGTTAGGTCTTATTAAGTTCATTACCATTTCCTCATTCATTTTTATAATTCTTGTTGACATTTCATTCATCTCTCATATCTGCTATTGTCACCTCTTCCATTTGCTTCATCTGTGGGTTTTGCTTTTTAAAATTATTTTTCTATGGGGCCAGGGACTTTGCTCAGTGGCACCGTGCCTGCCTTGCAGGTGCAAGGTCCTGAGTTTGATCCCTGGTACCAAAAAAAAAAAAAAAAAAAAATTATTTTACTGTGGTCTTAGTGAAGGGAGCAGAAATAAGCTCAATTTTTTATGTTTATATTTTGTTAATACTATTTAAGAATATTGACCCTCTGATAGTTTACACTTGCTGTTGTGTGTTGAAGACTTCAGTGTACTGGAGTCTTCATTGATGAGAGAGAGGTAGGAATCAATGAAATTTTTAAATGCGCTATTTCAATTATTTCATGTTAAAATTTATCCATTAATGGATGCTCTTCAGTGGAAATAACTCCATCAAAAAGTGAGTTTATTAGAATACTTTTTTTTTTCTTTGAAACAGCTCAGTTTTCATACAGACACATTTGGGACGACACAAGTACTTATGAGAAAACACAGTACCTGATCTGACACCATAGGGCAGATCGAAGACCATCCTGGGCCACGGTAGACAGTGTCAGGTGGGAGGGAGAGGAAGACGGGCTGGGGTGCCTCTCTGGGGAATGCCTTGTTGCCCCAATCCACCCAAAGAGTAACTGCTCAGACAGTCTGCTCCTTGGCCTGGCAGCTATGGGGCTGCTTTTGTGGGGAGCCTGAGACAGCCCTGTGGCTTCCAGTGGATTCTTGTTCATGGGCTCTGCTGCCGGTGCAGCTCCGGCCAGTGGGGAGAAGGACACTGAATACTGTGCCGGGTGAGAAGGTGACCCAGCTCTCGAGGTCCTGGGCTGAAGAGTATGGGGTGGGAAACTTCAAGTCATAGTTCTTCCCACGCTCAGCACAGCCGCAGAACATACTCCACAAACAGCAGCCCACTCAGTGGCTGGGCCTCATGTGGTTCCTGCTGTGTGAGAACCTTCACCACGTGCACCACGAGCTGGTCTGAGATGCCAGGGCAGGATCCTGGGCCAGGCTGAGATGTTTTTCATCTCCTCCAGCACACCTGCGGTCCTTGTTCTGCCTTCCCCTTAAGCTCTCCAGAGATGGGCCAGACCAGTGTGGATGGGCACTGGGAGCATGGCTGTGTCTTGATAGTGTCTACAGTCTTTGGAGCAGCTTGTTGTATGGACTTGGCCAGACACTTGAGTGGGGGTGATGTTCGAATAGGGCCCTGTTCCTCTTCCTCAGCCTCGCCATCTGTGTCCACGTCCTCGGAGCCGGACTCCTTGCCATGCCTCTCTGAGTGCCAGCACTTGTAGCAGTTGACGAGCTCTGTGAAGAGGGAGGTCTTCTTGGTGTAGTGCGGGATGAACTTGTGCTTCAGGAGCTTCTTGCCTGTGCGCCAAAATCAGGGGTCCTTGTCGAGGCAGGAAGGACCTGCTGTGGTGGCCCTGCATTGTGGTGGTGGACTGTTCTTGAGGATCAGGAACAGGACATGTGTGGGGTGCAGGTCAGAGTTTGGCAGCTTCCCCTTGGCCAGTTCAATGGCCCTTTCGGCCTTGAAGTTGGGGGCCCACTGTTTGATGACCTCTGGTGCCATCCCAAAGCCCACAGACGTGCTCCTCTTCATCTGCATGTGGATGAGCTGCCCGGCCAACCCGAAGTCTGCCACCTTCATGTCTACCTGCTCCAAGGGCAGCACATTGGCGGCTTTGATGTCATGGTGGATCTTGTTCTGTGAGTGCAGGTACTTTAGGCGGCCCTTCAGGATCTCCCACAGGATGATGGTGATGTAGGTCTCTTCCAGGAGGCTTGATTTCAGCAGGTCCAGTGCAGAGCCACTGCCCAGCTACTCATGGTAATCCACAGCGTGGTGCTTTTCAGATAGGAGCCAAAATAGCTGCAATGTAGGGGCTGTTGCAGTGGCTGAGCATGGTGCTCTGCTGGATGTCCTTGATCTTGTCCTCAGCCTCTTCCAGGTTGATGATTTTAATGGCCACCACCTTTCTGGAGTGGTTGTCAGTGCTTCTGTACACCTCCCCAAAAGCATCCTCGTCAGTGTGGTCACACTTGGTGAAGAGCTCCTCAGGGTTCCTTGAATGCTGGTTCGGAAGCCGCGGAAGTGAGCCATGTCTGTGGCCCATGGACCTGCCGGTGGTCAGTACCCGCTCATCCCAGGCCCCTCTGGCTGGCTCCATCCCTGCCCTCACCTGCTGTGCAGCGCCTGCAGGGATCCCACCTACAGCCTGGGCTTCCTGGAACTCCCAGGCCTCCCAGCGGAGGCAGTTTAGAATGCTTTTAAGGCAAATGTTTTTACTACAGTGTTTGGTCTTAAGACGTTTGTCATTAGTATTATAACCTGTAAATATACCCAGCCTTTCATTCTTTTTCAAAAAATCATTCATGGTTGTAGGTTTTTACTGGCTTGGCTCTGTATTGCTTATCATTCCGGAATATTAATATTCTTTCATTCTTTGAAAAAATAATTTTAAGGACTCCATACATTTTTTCATGTACTGTCTTTTGGAAATGCTGTGAAAGAAGCTTGAGGCCTTTTTTGTTGCATGTGAATAAAAATAAGCACAAATTTCTACAAATGTTCTTTTCTGCACCCATCTTTGCAATAAAGATAAGTGTGATCATAAAATAAGTACTACTACTTTTGAGGTAAAGACACATATCACACTCATTGCTCTAATTGTGAACAGAAAAGGATGCTCCACTTACACATGCAACTATATAGCAAGTCACTGGAGTTAAAGAACATACAAAAAAACTGAAATTTTATGTAAATTATGTGAAGTAAATGTTAGCCTTGATTATTCATGGCACAGCTTTCCCTAGTTATCAGCAGTATTTAGTCACAAATAATTACACTGATTTCAGAACATTCGGGTTGGAGGGATCTTAGACATCCTCTGCACCAGTTCGTTCCTCGTGTGTGAAGAAACTGAGGCTCTTGGTCCAAGGCTCTTGACATTACAGCATACAACTCTGTTCTGTACGCCTTAGATTTTATTACAAAACATTGGCACACTTTAGTAGGAGTTTTGGCCTTGTTTTTATAGATTTAAATTAAAGTTTGAAAATTTCACAATAATGTGGGACAGGTTCTGTTAGGATTTTTAAATTTTCAGATTAGGAAAGAGGACAGAAGTGATTGACCAGATAATAAAAGTCAGAGCTAGGATTTTAATCCAAATCTTTCTAACTCCAAAAGTTAGTCTTTCTGCTGCTCTCCCTAGGAACACAATACTTCCTCTCCGAAAAAAATACATTTTTATTGAGCTTCTCCTATATAACAGGGTCTTTACATAGTACTTTATAAACAGTACCTTTTTGTTACTTTTTTATGGATAAATAATACCAGCTTACAAATACATTTTTTTTTAGTATCCATACATGCCTACAAGTGTGTGCACTCAAGGTGTAGCTTGAAATGTTTCCTACTCATCCCCAGTTAGTGGTGCTCAGACCAGTCTGAGAGTTGAGTCTGTGCAGCACTTAACCAGCATCACATTAGTGATTCAGCATTAGTAGTGAGAAATGGGCTGTGATGGGAATACTAGAAATTGACAACACTATAGATCAATGCTTAAAAGTTTTAAAAATATTTATTGTTTTTTAACTGATAAATGAAAATTGTTTATATTTAATGGGATACCATGTGATGTTTTGATAAATGATGTGCAACTCAGGCTGAACATATCTATGTCCTCATTTAACCATTTCTTTATGATGAAAATATTCAAAATCCTTTTGTTCTAGATACATATATATTATGCTATATTATATCATAATCACTGGTAGTCTTTCTAGTGAGCAGTAGAACACTCAAATGTCTTGCTCCTATCTAGCTATAACTTAGTACTCATTAATCAAGCTAATGCAGGAGGATCAGCTCTGCTCTCAGACACTGGCCTACATCAGGAACCAGGTGACTGCCTGGTACTGGGTTCCAAGTCTGAGGCCTGTACTTAATTTTCTCAAGTGGGAAGAATCTTTCTCCTGTGTGTATTAAGTTGATGGAAGGGTGATGTGGGCAACTTTCTTCCTGGCTTCTTCAGTGCTTGTTTTGTTTTTGTGCTAAAACTAGCTGCAGTGAACTGTCACGTGGTTTCCTTGGTTCTTGCATCCACATTGATGATTCTGTTGGGAGAGTTTGTTGGAGGGCTCCACGGTCATCTTGTTGTCAGATATGTTTTTGAAAATCATTTAATATGGACTAAGACAATTGGTAGGCTAGGGATATATTGCTCATTATGCCTTATCTTGACATTTTATAAATTGTTTGAACATTTTGTTTTATGGTATTCTGCTGTAATATTGTATCTCATGGATATTCAGAATATCATCAGATAAATTTATAAACTTCATGTTAATGCTATATATTCCATGAGAATTCTGTATGTCCGTTTTCATTCATGAGAATATGTGGATAGGAGAGTAAGAGGCAAAAATAACATGAGACTATAGTGGTTGGTTTGGTTGTTGTTTGAGACAGGACCTTACTATGTAGCTTAGGCGGGGCTTGAACTCAAAATCCTCCTGCCTCAGTCTTCTAAGTGTTTTGAAATTCATAAAGCATCCCCCCCTCCGTCACTCTCCCTCTATTCTTTCACTGTCCCCACCCCATACCTAATCTCACTATGTTGCCTAGGCTGGCTGTGAGCTCTGACTCAAGCAATCCTTCTGTCCAGCCTCCTAAGAGGCTGAGTCTACAGATACAAGCCACTGTGCCTTGCATACATCCTTTTTTTTTTTTTTTTAAACAACTTTCTTGATTGTAATGGACATACCGTGTAATTCAGCAGTTTTTAATATATTCACAGATAAGTGAATCAGTCACCACAGCACATTTTTTAATAAATTTCCACCTTAAAAGTCCCCATATACTTTAGCTATCACACTTTATATTCCCATACTATTCAGATAAAAGCAACCACTGTGTAGATTTTCTCCATTTGAGTCATTTCATATGAATGGAATTCATACAGTATGGGGTCTTTTATGACTGACTTCTTTGACTTAGCATTCACAATGTTTTCACTGTTCAGCCGTGTTCTTTTTATGACTGAAAAACACTACATTGCATAGTTACATCACATTTTATCTTTTTGTCAGTTGATAGACATTTGGATTGTTTCTATGTTTTGTCTCTTATGAATAATGCAGCTATAAACATTCATATATACAGGTATTTGTGTGAAAATTCTGTCTCATTTCTTTGGGGTGTATGCTTGGTGGTATTACTGGGCATTATGGTGACCCGTGTTTAATATTTGAGGAACTGCCAAACTGTTTGCTCATGTGGTCCACCATTTTAACATGCCTACCAGCAGTCAGTGAAGATTTGTATTTCTCCATATCCTTAACAGTACTTATTATCCAATTTTTAAATTCTAAACAACCTAGTGGATACAGTGTTACCTCATTGTGGTTTTTAATTTGCATTTCCCTAGTAGTTAATGATGTTGAGCTTCGTGCACTTACTGTTTGTATCTTCATTGGGAAAATGTCTGCTCACACCCTTTACTCATTTTTTAGTTGGTTTGTCTTTTTATAATTGAGATGGAAGAATTATTTATATATTGTGGATAACAAATCCCTGTTTAAATCTTTGATTTCCATATATTCTCAATTTTTTGAATTGTTTTTACTATCTTGATAGTATCCTTTCAAGTACAAAATCTTTTCATTTAGATCAAGTCCAAATTATCTATTTTTATTTTGTCCTTCATGGCTTTGGTGTCATAGTTGATAATCTAGTCAGATCCAAGATGATAAAGATTTAACCCTATGTTTTTCCTTTGAGTTTATAGTTGTAGCTCTTAAGTTTAGTTTGATCTACTTTAACTTTTGTACAAAATTTGAGGCAAGAGTTCAGTTTTATTCTTTTGCATTTGGCTATTTAATTGTTCCCTCACCATGATTTTGTTAAGGACAAAATCAAACTATTCTTTGCTCCATTGAGTGGTCTTGGTATTCTTGCTGAAAATCAGTTGACCATAGATGACTTCTTTTTTTTTTGTACTGGGGATTGAACTCAGGATCTTCTGCTTACAAGGCAGGTGCAGTGCCACTAAGCTAAATCCCCAGCCCTACCATAGATGATTTCTAAACCTTTAGTTCTATTTCACTTATCTATCCTGTGCTAGTCCCACACCTTGGTCCCCATTGCTTTATAGTAAGTGTTTAAGTTAGTTAGATAATGTGATTCCTCATACCTTGTGTTCTTTTTGAGATTGTTTTGGCCTTTCTGAGTCCCATGTAGTGCATAGGAACTTTATAATCAATTTGCTAGCTGATCAGCAGAGTCAGCTTTGTAGAAATCTACAAGGAAGTCAGCTGGATTCTGATAGGAACTATGTTGAATCTATAATTTGAGTGGTATTACTGTCTTAATATTGTCTTTCAATCCATGAACATGGGAAATTTATGTTTATTTAGATCTTTAATTTCAACAGTGTTTTACAGTTTTCGGAATGTTTTGTGTTTCTTTTATTAAATTTATTCCCAAGTATTTTATATTTGGGGGGGGCTATTGCAAATGGAATTACTCAATTAATATTTTAGTATGGTTCACTTATTACCTTGTTGAATTCTAATAGTTTTTTGTTGTTGTTGTTTGTTTTTGTTTTTTTTGGTACCAGTGATCGAACTCAGGACCTTGCACTTGTGAGTCAGGTGGCAGCACCACTGAGCTAACCCTAACCCCGGCCCTCTAAAATAGTGGTTTCTTCAGGATTTTCTTTATATAAGATCATGTTGTCTGTAACAGGGAGTTTTGCTTCTTCTTTAATAGTCTGGGTTCTTTTTATTTTTCTTTCCTAATTGTTCTGGCTGGAACCCACAGTGTAGTGTTCAATAAAGTGGTAAGAATGGACAAGGAGATGATTGTTTGCTATTATTTTTTATTCCTTTAATATGATGTCTTAATTAATTTTGGGATATGAAATTAACTTTGTATTCCTGAGTCAAATACCATTTGGTCATAGTTATAATTCCACTGAATGTAATTGGGTGTTGTTAGGTTTGGTTTGCCAGGATTTTCTTCAGGTATTTATATCTACTATTAGGGAGAACACATCTGGTCTTTCACCATTATATATGATATTATCTATAGGACTTTTATAGGTGCGCTTTATCAGTCTGCTCAGTGAAATTCCCTTTTATTTCTAGTTTATTGAGTTTTTTTGCTTTTTTTAAATCATGAAGTATTTTAGATTTTTTTGTTTTGTTTGTGTGTGTGTTTTTTTGTTTGTTTGTTTGTTTGTTTTGACAGGGTCTTACTGTGTAGTTGAAATTGACCTGGACCTCACTGTGTAGCCCAGGCTGGTCTCAACTCACAGTGATCCTCCTGCCTCAGCCTCAGTGCTGGGATTACAGGCGTGCGCCACCACGCCCGGCTTTTGTTTGTGTTTTTTTTGAGGTAGAGTCTAGCTAAATTGCCCAGGCTGGGCTTGAACTTGCAGTTCTCCTGCCTCCGTCTCCCAGAATGCTGGGATTACAAACATGTATTACCACATCCAGCTAATTTTAGATTTTGTCAAATTTTTTTTGTATTTATGGAGATGATTATTTGCCTTTTATTTTTTATTCCTTTGATATGATGTCTTAATTGATTTTGGGATATGAAATCAACTTTGCATTCCTGAGTCAGATCCCATTTGGTTGTGGCATATAATTTGACTGAGTATAATTGTGTGTTGCTAGATTTGGTTGGCCAGCATTTTCTTCAGGTTGTTTGTGCCCATATTCTTAAGATGCACAGTTTATAGTTTTCTGTTATGTTTTATCTAAGGCGTGACTGTTTTGTCAGCATAACTGTCTTTGCTTCTGCTTAGCTCATGGCAGCGTTAGCAGCTGTCGGGCCTCCTAACCCTCGGGCAGATCCAGAGTGCTGTAGTATTCTGCATGGGCTTGTTGCAGCGGTGGAAACTCTTTGCAAAATCACCGAATACCAGCATGAAGCCCGAACTTTACTCATGGAGAATGCAGAACGTGTTGGAAATAGAGGGCGAATAATCTGTATTACAAATGCAAAAAGGTGAGATGTTAATCACAGTAATTCTTTCACTGATGGAATTTTTAAATTCCTCTTGTGATTTTTTATTTTACAAAGCAGAACAAGATGAAACATTAAGCATATTCCAAGTGGCCTTTCTGGTTTTTTTTCCCTTTAATATCGAGATGGTGTTTATCACTTCTAAAGAATCATCTCAGTGAAAACTTTAAGATTATTGTCATGTAAATCAATGCTACTTTTTTTTCTAATTTTCAGCTAGTCATTTGGTATTGTGAATAAGCACAATAGAGACAGTCCTTACTAAAGTAATTTTAAATGTCTGTACTAAGGTGTACAACTGAATAGTGCCTTATTTATTCCTTTTAAGTTTGCTATGTCTTTTTTACACCATAGTGATAGTCATGTACGCATGCTTGAAGACTGTGTCCAGGAAACAATTCATGAACATAACAAGCTTGCTGCAAATTCAGATCAGTGAGTACAGTCCATAACTGAAGTAAATGTCTTCAACTTCATATTATATATGTTTATTAGAATTATTTCAAATAACTTTAATGTGACTTTATGGTTCCTTAAACTTTCTACTGACTCAACAAATTTGACTAAAAGTGTAAGTTTGATTAGAAACTTTTTTCCATTTTTCCCTTGTACTTTAGAATTTTACTTTTTGTCCCCAGAGAAAAGGTGATCCGAACCACGTGTAATGGTGCAAACATGTGATCCTGGCACTCTAGGAGGCTGCAGCAGGAAGATCACAAGTACAAGCCAAGCCTAGGCAACTTAGTGACTTAGTGAGATCCTGTCTCAAAATAAAAAATGAGCTCAGGTTCAGGGATTTAGCTCAGTGGTTCCACTGCCTGCCTCACAAGCATAAGGATCGGAGTTTGATCTCTGGTACCTGCCCCCCACAAACATGAGCTCAGTTTTAAGGCCTTGAGTTGAGTCCCTAGTAGTGCAAAATAAACAAACAAATAAATAAATAGATGATCCAATGATAAAGTAAAAAATAAGTTTATAATACATTTGTTTTGATGATTTATTCTTATAATCTGTATCATAATTTCATAAAGTATGCCCCTTGTAGGTGGCATTTTTCAGTGTATACCAAATGAAAACATTATTGTGAGTTTAAAAACTATTGAAAAGGGTGGGTCAGTTGTGGTGGCACATGTCTGTAATTCCAGTACACTAGAGGCTAAAGCAGGAGGATTGCCACAAGTTTGAGGCCAGCCTGGGCTACAGAATCAGATCAAGGGCAACCAGAACTACAGAGCAAGACACTGTCTAAAAAATAAAAAATATTGAAAAGGAAAACTTTTTTCCTCTATATTCATACAAGTATTTGTTTGTGATCAAATGTGTGAATTTTTCCTATGCCAAACAGTTCTCCAGCTCTTTAGGTTATTGTTGCCTTTGTCCTTAAAAAATTATTAATACAAGGGAAATTAGTGCATGATATATTCATTGTCTGTGATAATTATTGAATATAGTAATAAAAATCCCCTTTACCCTTTGAGCACACATAGAATTATCTTTCCATTTGAATTAAATTTATATATTTATTTGTTAAGTGTTCATCAGAATACAGCAGTTATATACTACACAGCTTTTATGTTAACAGTAACAGCTAATTTTAGCAATATACTATTCTGGTATAGTAAGTTCTTAATAGTTTACCTGCCTGAATTGTTTATATGCTATATATTAAGTGAAAATTTTCTCTCTAAGTCTAATGCAGATTCAAAAATGTGAGTTGGTCTTGATCCATACCTACCCAGTTGGTGAAGACAGTCTTGTATCTGACCGTCCTAAAAAAGAAGTAAGTGTAGAAGTATTAAAGAACAGATATTAGTAAATTATAATTAATGAATACTGAGAAAGGTTAATATTTAAATGATCACATTGCCAATGTTTTCTGTTAAGAAAATATTTAAAAATTTCAAAGCAAACATGAGAAACTTTTAGGGTGATGAAGACTTACAGCTAATAGTTTTCAAAGTGTTTTCTGTTTTGCTTGGCTATTGGTATTTATTTTAATAATTATGTGTTGCAAAACCATACACAGCCTGTTTTTACACTGCTAGCAATCAAATCCAAGAGCACTCTACTACTGAGCTACATCCCCAGCCTTTTTTTTCTTTTTTCTTTTCTTTTTTTTTTTTTTTAGTATAAGGTCTTGCTAAATTGCCTCTAACTGGTAATTCTAAACTGGTCTCTAGCTTGTAATCCTCCTGCCTCTGCCTCTCAAGTAGCTGGGATTTCAGGTATGCAACACCATTCTTAGCTAGTCTGTATTCTTCCTAAGTAGTTTACTGAATTTCAGTTATTTTAACACCTTTTAAAATTATATATAGATCTTTTATCACAAAGAAACTAATTTTTATGCACTTCAGGGATGGGGAGAGAGTTTTCAATCTTACTTTTTACTTTTTAAATAGATTTAAACAGTCTAAAGCAGGTGATTCTGTTGATTGTGTAAGGGATCACATATTCTTTCAGTAGTCTAGGTGATGAAATACATCCAGGTGCAGTGACACACTCCTGTAATCTCAGGAACTTGGGAGGCTCAGGGAAGAAGATGGCAAGTTTGAGGTCAGCCTAGAGAACTTAGTATGAACCTGTCTCAAAACAAAGCTGTCTCCAGTTTTGGCCAGCTAAGTTCATAGTGTTTGTGCAGGACGGCATCTTGCTACCAAATTGAATATTTTAGTACAGTAATATTTTGACTTGGCTTCAACTACTATTACACATATTCCATTGAAGGCAGGCAATTCTTGGCTCTCCTAATTTGAAATCTCTACTTTTCTTTGTAAATATTTATTTTGATATCTATTATTTATTTTAATTGAACCTTTACTTTTTCTCCCCATACATTTTCTGTTTTAAAGGGGGTAGGGATATAGCCCAGTGGTATAATGCTTGCCTGTCATGAGTTCAATCCCTAGTACTGAAAAAAAGAAAAAGAAAAATATAAATATATCTATTTTTGTAGTTATATCAAATGTATATTTTCTTTATGCTCTGGGATTTCATTTTGTACTTTTTAATGTAAACATGCAATATTAGTCTGTGAAGCTTTATAGGTAGGTGATATTTTAAGTCATTGCCATTGTGTTTTAAGTTTATTTATGATAAATATTGTGGAATGAGGAAATTTTTATCTTATAAGTAATTTTTGGCTACCTTATTTTGTTTATTGGTGATAAAATAAGATGTTTCTGTTGATTTTCACATTCTTTAATTTTTATCTGAAGTGTTTTATACCCTCCAAAAAAATGAATTTTTCTATAGTATTTTCTTTAAGCTACTTCAAATCCATTTTGCATATAGATAAATAGAAGTACAAAATCTAAATTTAAAAAATGTTTATATCAGAGACTATTCTACCCTAAGTTTCACACAGTTTCTGGCTTATAATTTAGTAAACTCTGATTAATATGTATATGTTCACCAAATGAATATTATAAAAATATTTTCTGAAAATAATTATGGTTAATTTGTGGACCCACTCTCAAAAAGTGTAAAAAGTAAAAATACCCATTTTTATTTTTTTGGTACTGAGTATTCAACTCGGGACCTTGTGCTTGAAAGGCAGGCAGCAGAACCACTGAGCTAAATCCCTGGCCCAAAGTACCCATTTTTAAATGAATTATACTAAGATATTTAGTACTAAGTTACAATGAATTAATGTTTTATGAGTTATTTTTCTTGCATTCTTTTCTGTAGTTGTCTCCAGTTTTAACCAGCGAAGTTCATAGTGTTCGTGCTGGACGGCATCTTGCTACCAAATTGAATATTTTAGTACAGCAACATTTTGATTTGGCTTCAACTACTATTACAAATATCCCGATGAAGGTAGGCAGTATTGTCCTTGCTGTTTTGAAAGCTTTACTTTGCTTTGTAAATATTTGTTTAGACATCTGTTATTTATTTTAATTGAACTTTACTTTTTCTTCCCATACCATATTTTCTGTTTTGCTAGCCCACATTCAGTGTCTTTGACCAGGTCAGTAATACAGAAAAGCAACAAAAAAGGATCACAGAACAAATTCATTTTTATTTCTAATAAAATGCTATAGGAGGTTTTTTAAAAAGAATTATGTACTAGTTATTTTCATCAAAATGTAACCTGTGTTTTAAATTACTTTTCTGTGATTCTTTTCATAACACTTGTGGTATTATATTATACTTACTTTGTATATTCTAGTAGATCTTTTATTTTCTATACCCTTGTTCCTGCCCGCCCATAACAGTGTTTATAACTAATAGGTCTAACTATAGAAAAATCACTCTAGCTTTCAATTAATTTATCACAAAAAGCCATAGATAGCTGAAAAACCATAGATGTGAATCCTATGACTTTTTTTTTTTGGTACGGGGGATCGAACTCGGTCCTTGTGCTTGCAAGGCAGGTGGTGGAACCACTGAGCTAAATCCCTGGCCCAGTCCTATGACTTTTACTTTTTTGGGGGGGTACCAGGGATGGAACTTGGGCCCTTGTGTTTGCAAGGCAGGCAGCAGAACCACTGAGCCAAACCCCTGGCCCAGTCCTATGACTTTTAACAAATGGATTTTCTTAGGAATCTGTTGCTGCCTATTCATTTTCATTGTATTATTGAGCTATCTAATATCAGCACAATGCCTGGTCCATAGTGAGCTTCAGATGAATTGTTACTGAGCAGAATTGATATATATATATATATTTTTTTTTTTT